CTCTCGCTGTCTCTCTCGTCAAATAAATAAATAAAATCTTTAAAAAAATAAAAATAAAATAAAATGCTGACTCTATTTAATATCCCCTTGTACTGGTTGAAAGAAGAATATTTCACGTGTTCTCACCTGCTGTCCTTTGAAGGAAGGGGCAGAATATACATTATTATTATTATTATTATTTATATGTAAATAACTTATGGCCTGTACACCTGTTTTTTCTCTTTTTTTCATTGCATCTGACATACATGTAGAAAGTACTACAATTTTATTGGGATGAAATAATTCCTTTGACCGGGCTTAGCTTTCCTCTGTCTCCTCCCCTTACCCCTGCTTGGAGTCACTATATAACTGAAAGGGGCAAAGGCAATTTGTTTCGGTTTGTTTTAACAACCGAAGTTCCTGGTAACTTTTGAGCTGGGTAAAGGTGTTACCAAAAAGTTGGAATAATGAAGGACTTGTGGGGTGGGTGTACTTGTGTAATGGAGAGAAGATGCTTAAATAGCATTTAGGAGGCACTAGCTAGAGATACATTCTTCAGAATTTTCCTTAATGTCAGTAGCCTCCCCATTTCAGAAACAATATCTAGCATATCGAAACTGCCTGCTCTGGTTATAGGATAAAGATTTTAGGGAACTTTCTTTAGTTTTTCAGTATTAGGTGTGTGATGATGGTTTTTGGGTTTTTTTGGTTTATCTGGGTGTTTAGGGATTTTTTTTGGTTTTTGTTGGGTTTTTTTTGTTTTTTCATTTTCATCTCCGTTCTTACTCATTTCAGATTTTTACCTTGTAGTAACAGACTCTTTTAAACTCAAGTTCGTAGGATTTGAAAGGTCAATTGAGTGACTTTAGGAAGGTCTACTATCTAGGCAAGACCACTTCCAAATTCAGACTCAAATGAGAAATTGAACTTGGTTCCAAAGACCAGTTTCTGTGTTCAGTGAAGACTTATAAATGACTTGGAAATGTCAGTCTGTGTTAGTCTCTTCTCTCCTCTTTAAGACCACTTTTGTAATTTCCATGGTATAAAACCTTTGAAAATTTATCTAGCAGGTCTTCTTCCTACCAAAAAGATCTGTGAAGAAAAGCTTCACATTCCTGATTAAGGTTTATCTAAAATAGGATAATTAATGTTATCTTTTCTATTAGGGTATTGTGAATTCTCCCTTTGTTTTTGTTTTTGTGTTTAAAGATTTTATTTAT